CTCCTTGAATTTGGTCTTATCTGAGAAGCACTTTATCTGTCCTTCCATTCTAAATGAAAGTTTTGCTGGGTAGAGCAATCTTGGTTGTAGTTCTTTGGTTTTCATGACTTGGAATACCTCTGCCCAGCCCCTTCTTGCCTGTAAGGTCTCTTTTGAGAAATCAGCTGACAGTCTGATGGGAACTCCTTTGTAGGTGACTGTCCCCTTAGCTCTTGCTGCTTCTAGGATTCTCTCCTTCATTTTAATCTTGGCTAATGTAATTATGATGTGCCTTGGTGTGTTCCTTCTTGGGTCCAACTTCTTTGGGACTCTCTGAGCTTCCTGGATTTCTCGGAAGTCTATTTCCTTTGCCATCTTGGGGAAATTCTCCTTCATTATTTGTTCAAATAATTTTTCAACTGGTGGTTGTGCCTTTCCCCCTTCTGGTACCCCTATAATTCGGATGTTGGAACGTTTAAAGATGTCCTGGAGGTTCCTAAGCTTCTCCTCATTTTTCTGAATTCTCATTTCTTCATTCCTTTCTGTTTGGTCATTTTTTTCTTCCGTCTGGTTCTCTCCCTTGATTTGAATCCCAATTTTCTTTCCATTACTATTGATATCTTTTGTATCACCATTCATTTCAATTAATTTAGCTTCCATATGTTTCTCTAATTTGTGCCTAAAATCCACCAGTTCTGTAAGGATCTTTATAACCAGTGTTTTGAACTGTGCATCTGAAAGACTGGCTATTTCTTCATCACTTAGGTCTATCGGTTCTGGGGCTCTGAGTTGTCCTAGAGCCATTTTTGGTCTATTCGCGCTGTTAAGTGAGCGGAGCGAAGCCTTAGTTGTTTACCAGGACGGGCGACCCAGGTCGCTGGTTTGTGACGCTGTGTGTGGGGGCGGGGTCAGAGAGGGAGCAATGGCGTTCCTCTCCGCTAGCCCAGCGCAACCAGTCACTCAAACGCCTCGGGCTTGCTTATCCGATCCTAATTTTGCGAGCCTGCTGCACCGCGGGTTTCCCTTCTCACTGGTTTCTCCGCACGTAAATGCGACCGACCGACCTGCCGCGCCTCTTCCGTGTGCGCTCCGGCAGCCAGCTCGCTGGCAATCAGCGCCCTCGGTTGCCTGTGCGCACTGCCCCGGGAATTTTTTCTTGCTAACCTGCTCCGCTGCTGGCCTCGCTCCTCGTACCGGTCCAGCCGAGTATCTAGTTGTCCTTTGGACTCCGTATTGTCGATTTTCCGTGTGGCTTGGTTGTGACTGCTGTTAAAAATAGTTGTTCTTAGATTTGGTTGTGCACAGAGGTGAGGTGGAACCTCCACCTACTTCTCCATCTTGGCGGAAGTCCAAAGCTTTCATTTAGAATGGAAGGGAAGATAAAGTGCTTCTCAGATAAGGTCAAGTTCAAGGAGTTCATCATCACCAAGCCCTTATTATATGAAATGTTAAAGGGACCTATCTAAGAAAAAGAAGATAAAAAATATGAACAGTAAAAAGGCAGCAAACTCACAGTTATTAACAACCACACCTAAAATAAAAGCAAACTAAGCAAACAACTAGAACAGGAACAGAACCACAGAATGGAGATCACATGGAGGGTTAGCAAAAGGGGAGTGGGAGGAGGAGAGAGAGGGAAAAGATACAGAGACTAAGTAGCATAGATGGTAGGTAGAAAATAGATGAGGGAAGGCAAGAATAGTATGGGAAATGTAGAAGCTAAAGAACTTATGATACATAAACAAGAACTAAAGGGGGGGAATGTGGGTGGGAGCAGGTGTGCAGGTTGGAGGGGAATGAAAGGGGGAAATGGGACAACTGTAATGGCATAATCAATAAAATATATTAAAAAATAATAATAAAACAACAGGAAGCTGGGGTGAAGACATACAGCTTTTGGTTACATTAAATGTAATCATTGCTTCTTTTTAAAAAGCAGTAATAACAAATAAACTGAACATCAGAAACATTTACTAGCAACTAAAGTAAACAGCTACATTCTTAGTACAATACAATTTTTGACACAACTATAAACATGTATGCAATTCAAATATTGGCAAATTGCTTCAAAATGCAATTCTCATCAAGTTTTGGTAATTTATCCAGTTCTGGATTAGAATCACTGGACTCACAAGGCGTAAGGAAGAAATGACCAACTGTCTCAACTAAATAATCATTTTATTTTTTTAACTAAATGTATTGGGGTAACATTGGTTAATAAAATTATATAGGTTTGGGGTATACAATTCTACAGTGTCATTTGTTTACTGTATTGTGTGTTTACTTCCCTAAGTCTCATACCGCCATCATTTTTCTCCCCTTTACCCTTTACCACCTCCCCTATCCCCATTCCCTCTGTCAATCACCACACTGCTGTCTGTGTCCATGAGTCTTTTTCTTTGCTTAATCCTTTCATACATATAACCCAGCCCCTACCCCCACCCCCTGACAGCTGTCGGTCTGGTCTTTGTCCATTAGTCTCTTTCCACTTTATTGGTTTATTTTGTTCATTAGATTCCACATGTAATTGAAATCATATGATACTTGTCTTTCTCTCATTGGCTTATTTCACTTAGTATAATTTCCAGATCAATCCAAGGTAAGACCACTTTCTTTTCTTTTACAACTCAGTAGTATTTTGTTGTGTAAATGTACCAGTTGTTTTATCCGCTCACCTACTGATGGGCACTTGGACTGCTTCCAAACTTGGCTACTGTAAATCACACTGCAATGACCTTAGGGGTGCATATATTCTTTCAAATTAGTGTTTCAGGTTTCTTCAGATAAATTCCCAGAGATGGAGTCACAGAGTCATAAGGCAGTTCCATTTTTAGTTTTTTGAAGTAACTCCATACCACTTTCCACAATGGATGCCTCAGTCTGCATCCCCCACAACAGTGCAACAGGGTTCCCCTCACTCCACAACCTCGTGAGCACTCGTTTGTTGATTTATTGATGATGGCCATTCTGACAGGCATGAGGTGGTATCTCATTGTGGTTTTAATTTGCATTCCTCTAATGATTAGTGACATTGAGCCTCTTTCCATATGTCTATTGGCCATCTGTATGTATTCTTTAAAGAACTCTCTATTCAGGTTCTTTGGCCATTTTTGTAATTGGATTGCTTTTGGTGTTGAGTTTTATAAGTTCTTTATAAATTTTGGGTATTAACTCATCAGATGTATCATTGGCAGATGTTCTCCCCTCCAGTGGGTTGTCAATTCATTTTGTTGATGGTTTCACTTGCTTTGCAAAAACTTTTTAGTTTGATGTAGTTCCATTTGTTTATTTCTTTTGTTTTCTTTGCCCAAGGAGATACAACAAAACATACTGCTATGAGAAATGTCCAAGATTCTACTGCCTATGTTTTCTCCTAGAATTTTTACAATTTTGAGTCTATCATTTAAGTTTTTAACCCATTTCAGGTTTATTCTTGTGTATGGTGTAAGAAATGGTCTAGTTTTGTTTTGTTTTGTTTGCATGTACCTGTCCATTTTTCCCAACACAATTTATCGTATAGACTAGCTTTACCCCACTGCACGTTCTTGCTTCCCTTATCAAATATTGACCATAAAGGGGTGGATTTATTTCTGGACTCTATTCTATTGGTCTATCTACACGTCTGTTTTTATGCCAGTACCATGCTGTTTTGGTTACTCTGGCCTTGTAACACAGTTTGGTATCAAGTACTATGCTTCCTCCAACTTCTTCCTTTTTTCTCATTATTGCTGTGGTTATTGGGGTCTCTTGGGGTTTTACATAAATTTTTAAAATATTTGTTCTACTTCTGTGAAACACACAATTGGTATTAATAGGAATTGTGTTAACATTGTAGATGGTTTGGGGCAGTATGAACATTTTAATAATGATAGTTCTTCCTATCCATGAACACAGTGTGTTTCCACTTCGTTGTATCTTCTTCAATGTCTTAATTTTCTGAGTACAGGTCTTTCACATCCTTGATTTATTCCAAGGTATTTTTTAATTTTGGTTTTGATGCAATTATAAACGGGATCACATTCTTAGTTTCTCAGATTGTTCATTATTGGTATAAAGAAATGCAAAAGATTGCTGGCTATTTTGTATCCTACTTCACTGAATTCACTTATCAGTTCTAGTAGTTTTTTAGTGGAATCTTTAGGGTTCTCTACATACAACATCATGTCATCTGCAAATAATGAGTTTTACCTTTTCTTTTCCAGTTTGTGTATCTTTTATTCCTTCTTGTTTGATTGCTATGGCTAGGATTTCCAGTACTATATTAAGAGTGGTCATGTATTAAGAAAGCAGACATCCCTATCTTGTTTTCATTCAGAAATGATTTTAGTTTTTGCCTGTTGAGGATGATGTTGGCTGTGAGTTTGTCATATGACCTTTATTATGTTGAAGTATGTTCCCTCTATTCCCACTTAGTGAGAGTTATCATCAATGGATGCTATATGTTTAAAAAAATTTAGTCCTTACACAAGGATATGTTTATTGATTTGACACAAAAGAAACATCTATCAGGGCCTCCTGTGTGTGCCCTGACCAGGAATCAAACCCACAACCTTTCCTGGTGTATGGGATGACACTGCAAACTACTGCTGAATTTTATCAAATGCTCTTTCTGCATCTACTGAGAGGATCATGTGGTTTTTAGCCTTCATTTTGTTTCTGTGTTCATCACATGAATCAATTTGCAGACACTGTACCGACCTTGCAGCCAGGAATAAATCCCACTTGGTCATGATGTTTGATCTTTTTATATTGCTGGATCCAGTTTGCTAATATTTTGTTGAGAATTTTAGTATCTAAGTTCATCAGATATACTGGCCTATAATTTTCTTTCCTTGTAGTGTCTTTATCTGGTTTTGGAATTAGGATAATCCTGGCCTCGTGAAATGAGCTTGGGAGTCTTCTTTCCTCTTAAATTTTTTGGAACTAAACATTCATTTTAACAAACAGAAAACTGAAGCAAAACAAGAATGATTCTAAAATTTCCAGCTCACAAGAAATATAAACAAATACCAAAAGTTTTATTTGAACAAAAAAATTCAATCACAGAACATTAAAAAAGCTAACAGAATCATTTCTATATTCTTCTGAAAACCAGCATAGTAAGAAAGGTAATTCAAGAATTTCCTAAATGTCTCACTAGCCATTATTTATGGTATAGTCCCTAACACTGGTATCAGCCTATTATAGACCTACAATTTAATATGATATAACTTTACAGTCTTGCTAATTATGATTTTATTTTAACCTTGGATATTATTGGCTTGAAGCTAATATTATCAGTCCTATTGGTTGTCATGTCAAAGATGTGGTTCCATTAGTTAAGCAGGAAATACTGATATATTAACAATCTTTAAATATTGTGGGAGAAAACTGATTTAAGGGTTAAAGTTTCTAAACTTAATTCTAATGCTAAAAACAAGGTAAGCCATCTGAAATATGCTTTCCTGGTAAAACATTCTATCTGGTATTCTGGTATAAAGAAACCTACAAAATACATGATATAAGACTAAAATATCTTTCTTTACCATTCCCTTCAATTTCTTTGGCCTTCACAAATTCCATGGGAGCTATGAATTCCTTTTCAATAAACACTTTTCAATGACACTGTGCTTTTTAGAAAAATCACTGAAGTCATATCTTTCCCTAGCTAATATTAGTATCTCCCCTTTTATTGTTAGAGTATATTCTAATTCTTAAAAAAATCAGAGAAAAAACTGACCCCAAAGGACTTCTTAAAATGTTTGTTAAAGGAAACTTCTAGCTGGTTTTCCTCCCTTGAAGAGTTAACAGAAGTGTCAAAGGAACATTAACAAGAAACTAAAAAACAGACTCCTTTCTTCCCATCCGCTTAATTAACTCAGGCCAAGGGACGTATATTGAAAAGGGTAAGACAATACCAACTCCGGAACAACTTTCTAAAAAACTGAGGGAAGAAAATCTGTACCCAACAGCCCCACCTGCACATCACCTGCCGGCTCCCTTTGAGCACCGATGCTTGTTTTTCCCTCTGCATTTTAGTGAGTGCTGTTCCTGGGAGCGCCGCAGACACAGAGGTCCACGGCCTGTGGAAGAGCTTACTCTACAAGATGCACTTTACCTTTTACAAACGTGACACACCCCACAACTTGGACCATGATTTAAGTGAACAAATCTACTCAGGACATCTAACAACCCAGCTCAACTCCTATTTTTTCCACTTTCTTACTCTATCCCTTTCAACAATCCCATCTTCACTAGTGACGAGTCCACCTCGGAACGAATGGGCTTTGCTTTAAACAACATGCACTTTTCTGTTGTGGAACTAAAACAATGACTTGTCCATAGCAGGCTGCTGACATAGTTATAGCAAACTAAACAGTTAACAATAATTTCTCTGTTATCATTTATTTCCATGGCACAGGTAATTAAAGAAAGATAGAAAAGCTGACTCAGAAGTAACAATCATTTACTGGGCCCCGTGTTAAATGCTAAACATGACCCCAGATCTCACAAGGGCTCATGGCCTGGGATAAGGAACACTCTGCACTGTATACGAGTCGATTTAAACTTTAAATGTATTACAAAAAAAACTTTTTATATAAAAGAATTCTTTTGTAGAGTATCTTTCTTGAAAATCATATTTTCGAGAAAGAAAATATGATTTTATTTATTTATTTTCAGAGAGAGAGGAAGGGAGGGACAAAGAGAGGGAGAAAAACATCAGTGCATGGCTGCCTCTCAAGCACCCCACAATGGGGACCTGGCCCGCAACCTAGGCACTGACTGGGAATCGAACCAGCGACTCTTTGGTTCACAGGCCGGCACTCAATCCACTGAACCACACCAGCCAGAGTGAAAATCAGATTTTCTTATCTTGCATTATATTGGTTTTAACTAGGCATGCACACTAAGTACTGGTTTGCCTCACTACAGTATCTTTTTTGTGTTTATAACTCCTAAAAGATTTTAAAAATCACTACATTAGATGGGTTAGGAAGCAAGAAGAAGGAATGAGGAGGAAAAACCTCCTGTTGGAAAATATCACTTCTTTTTTTCTTACTATTAGCTTTTGATATTTGGTTTAGAACTTACCCTGTTTTGAAAAGTGTGTGTGTGTGTGTGTGTGTGTGTGTGTGTGTGCACTAAGGAGAGAGAGAGAGAGAGCGCGCGAGCGCAGGGTGGGAGGGAGAGAGACTGCAAACTCCTGACGGACCTCACGTATTTCCCTGTAGAAGGCCGGCTCCAACTGGCAGGTCTGTAAGAAACGCCACAGGACACACACTGACAGGTGGGACGCTGCTCAACGCATTAACTGCGTAAATAAAGCCAGTTAGATCTTCAAATTTACTCAGTTAAATTTTGTTTTTCTTAACATTGTGAAATCTGTGTTGGTAATCTCTGAATCTTGGCTCTCTAAACTTGAGAGTCTGGAAACCTTTGCTGTTCCTTAGATAAATTTGATACACTAGATATTGTATTCCAATCAAGAAATGCTAAAAACCCATACAAATCAGGAGTGTAAATGCTAATAAAACAAGCATAACAAATGGCACTGTATGCGTATCAAAACTAACAAGCCTACACAATAATCTTAGAAACAATTAAAATAGGTAAATACAGCTATAGGAGCTATGCATATGATGCAAAAAATAACCCTATCTTATTTTTAAAAACAATCAGGCTTCTAGTCACCATCAATGAGAACCCTCTCAAATTACCTCAAACGTGCCAATTCTTTCTCTCAGACACAAGCAGAATTCTATGATTCTCCTGTAGGAACAGCTGTCAAAAAATCTTAACCTCATCAAGAAGTTCAAACACAGAAAAAGGAAAACACTGAGCTTACATAATTATGCTAAATAGCTTATCTTCACAATTTTAAAGTGAAAGCTTTTGAAAGAGGATTTGATCAAAACATAAATACACTGTCCTATAACCCCCGAGATCTGGCCAAAAAAGTCCTGTGAAGAAATTACAACTTTTTGAGTGGAAACTCATGGTCTAAATATTTTAATTTAGATTGTTAATTTCCATTTTTGACACTACCCAGCTAAAGCACCTCAACATCACTTTATTTATAACTTTTTCATCCCTAAATAAATTGCAGGGGTAGAACACAGAAAATACAGAGAAAAATACCTTGGAAGTAATACAGGGATTCCTCACTGTAATGTGCTTCACTGTATTGTGCTTCACAGATGCTGCGTTTTTTACAAACTGAAGGTGAGACCCTCCATCAGTGAAAAGATTACGACCTGCTCTACTGCGATACTTCGCTTTGTTACAGTGGCCTGGAACCACGCCTGCAATAGCCCCAAGGTATGTCTGTACTGAATTGATGCAATCCTTCATCAATTTCAGTGTAAAGCATGTACCTTTTTCTAAGTCTGGCCCACCTAGAGAGTCCAATGATTAGTCAAAAGACTCGCAAATCTTTCAAACAATATAAAAGAGCTTCTAAACTCACATGAAGACAATAGTTTTATACAAGGCAGTGAAGGGAAGTTAAATTAACTGCAGGAAAGTCTTTGGGACAAAAATGAAGAGGATTCTGACTATATCAATATTGATTTAATTTGAGACATTTGATGACAACTCTGTGTGGTAATTTCAAGAACAAGATAGAAGGTCATTCAGCAGATTGATTTTTAAAAAACTACAAATACAAGGGAATAACCAGTTATAGGAGATGAAAACACAGAGTTGGATATCCAATATGCATACATTCCACCTTCAAATTCAAGATCATGTTGTCAGTTGTCTGAAGCAGCTCAAACTTAAAGTTTGTGCTATTAAATTGTACAAATATTTTCTGTTAACGGCTGGAGAAAACCAATGCACCAATATACTATTTAGCTTCCTAAACTACTTTGACCTACAGATAACAAACAACAAATTTGAGAGACTAAAGTTAACTTAGGCTAGTAGAAATGCCACCAAGAAAAGCTTTTAGTTTTTAAGTACACAAACAAATCTGAAAATAAATCACAGTATCTTCTCTTTATACATAACTTAGCAAAACCTTAATCGACTGTGCATCTATGTTGCCACTGGCTTCAGATCTTCCAATAACCGCCAATCACTTCCAAAACACACAATCCTCTCAGATTGAAGAAGAGGGTCCGGACACCCAACACCCAGCACCCTTTAAGGAAAATGGAAGCTAAATCTGTTTCCGATGTGGATTTGAATGTAGATTCCATTTTCAAACTCCCCCACAAATTACTGGAAAAATGAGGTAATTTCACAAAAATCACAAATTGAATTGCATAATATAACTGATATATAAATAAGGATTTACTAAAAAAAGGTTTAAAGGAGTGATATTTTAAATCAAGGTTTTAAATACAAAAGGTGTCTTGTGTTGCTTAATCGCCCAGAATTTCTGATGCTCTTCATTCCACTGTTACAGATTTGGCAAGATTCCGGGGAAAATCAACCTGCAAAAAAAGAGCAAGATTAAAGAAATTATATAGATTTCGGGGGATTCTATAAGCAAATTTTTATTTATAAAAACAGAAAGCATGTTTATTAACCATCTTTATTATAGTCTACAAAGAATCAGATTAGAAAATACAGTCACATAATGTATCTATAAAAGACTCAAAATCAGGAAAAAGAATTCTAAAGGAGCCAGTTCAGCCCCCAAAGAGTTCTGGGGGTCCTCAGCAGAGGTGGCAGCCCTCTGAGGGGACGGCAGAAACGTACTCATATAAGAGCAGGATGTTTTGTCACAGTGAATGAGGGACCAAGAATCATAAAAGCCCTGCAATGTGTGAGAGAGTCCCAAACAAAGAACTGCCAATAGCTACCCTGTTAGGAAACACAGAATAAAAACAGGTGGAGGTTCCCCGAGAAGATAATCTCTGATGGTGGCAATAATCTCCAAGATTCCTTTAAATTCTATGGGTAAGAAAATGCTACAATCTAACCTAAAAACTGGGCCATGCAAACATAACTGGTGACATATATCTGATGGATTTCTCAAATGCTATTATTGTTAAATATCTAGAAGGAAATCTATCAAAATATACTGGGGTACAAAGACAGCCCAAGATTTCTGCAGTGGTCACTTACATCATAGCCTCTCAGCACAGCCAGGTGGAAAGCCAGCAACTGCAAGGGGATCACGCTGAGAATGCCCTGCAAACAGTCCACTGAGTGGGGCACCTTGATTGTCCTTTTTGTGTTCTTAATGGTCTCGGTGTCTTCCTTATCACAAATCACCACTGGGCGTCCCTGGGAAAGAAAGCCACACACACAATCAGGGGTAAACAAAGGCAGAACTATAACAAGTGAATGTGCAAATTCTGCACGCCACAATTTGCATGTGGCCTCACTGACACAGACTTATTTAAACTCACAATCCTATGTGGTAAGTCAGACTGATCTCAAGTACAGTCAAGGAAACGGAAGCTTTGTGGGAGTCGGTAATTTATTTAAACTCACACAACTAAGAAACATCAGGGTCAGTACAGATGCTCCTTGACTTATAAACTCATAGTAAGTTGAAAATATAAGCCAAAAATGCCTTTAATATACCTAGTCTACCAAACATCATAGCTTAGCCTAGGCTACCTTTAACATGCTCTGCATACTCTTACTGGCCTACAGTTGAGCAAAATCATCAAACACAAGATCTACTTTAAAACAAACTACTGAATATCTCATGTAATTTATTATGCATATTGCTTTCACGCCATCATAGAGTCAAAAACTCTTAAATCAAACCATCATACATCAGGGACCATCTGTACTTAAATCCAGGTATGCCTACCTTCAAAGCCCAAGTTCATAAAAACTACATGGTGAAAAGAGATTAATATCTTTTGGGGTTTATAAATTAAGCCAAATGAGCTGGAGATTAACTCAGTTAAGCACAGCATCTACAGTTTTACTACAAAATTTACTTTCTCCTAAAATATACATTTATGAATATTAAATTAAAAGGGAGTACCAAAAGTTAACTGAAAAAGACAGGCTTTGAAGAGCAAGACCCCAGTTTTAGTCTTGATTTTGACTATAGGAGATTTATGAGCTGGGTCCTATCACAACTCAAGAATCTCAAATTCCTCACATACAAACCTAAACATATTTTGTAAGCTAACTAATGGGCACTGATCTACCACTTTAAATGTCATAAAATTCAACAATAGCAGTCCTGGCTGGTGTAGCTCAGTGGACTGAGCATTGGCCTGCAAACCAAAGGGTTGCCGGTTCATTTCCCAGTCAGAGCACATGCCTGGGTTGCAGGCCAGCTCCCCAGTAGTGGGCACATGAGAGGCAACCACATATTGATGTTCTCTCCCTCTCTTTCTCCCATCCTTCCCCTTTGTCTTAAGTAAAATCTTTAAAAATAAAAAAATATAAATGCCATTCAAATAGGCTCTAGTGGCTAAAACCCCAAGGAATCGACCTAGCAGCCCCTGACTTACCTGCCTAGCAACCACCTGCTGAAGGGCATTCTGACACTTGGCGTAAGTGTGGTCTCTCATGATGATCATGATGACAGGCATCAACTTATCCACCAAAGCCAGAGGGCCATGCTTCAACTCACCAGCGAGGATGCCTTCGGAGTGCATATAAGTGATTTCTTTGATTTTCTAATAGGAAAGAACTAGATTAGTCTTCAGTCTGTTTTTCAAAAGCCCATTAAGCGAATACGCACAAAACATTTGATGTTTGAAGTCAGTGCCTATTTATCCAAAGTACTAAAGGACCACACATCTATAAATATAAAAAGCAGGCTAACATATCATCATTTTCAAAATATCAACAAGTGACTTGAAGTTTTAAAACTCTGTAAGGACTTTTTCAAGATTTTAGGTTATTATGAACACACTCATATTTCTTTGCAACTATTCTCCTCTTGGTTAATCTTTGACCTGAACTTAAATCCCACACATAGAGAACTTATCTTTATTTTACTCATATTTGGGCAACAAATTAACCAAAGTTACTTGCTAAACCCAAGTAATCACACTAAAATGTACTCTTCTTGATTTTCATTTTTGAATTAAATATCAATTGCTATACCTTATCGAGGCAAATAAATCAGGTTGCATAGAGAACAAAGGCACTTGTAAAAGTTTCACCTATTGCATTCAATCTAAAAGTATTATGTGCCAGGTACATAAGTCAACAGGCCAAAATTTTAAGTGAGACAACTTACTAGTGCCCCTTCAAGACAAGTAGCATAATGATAGCCACGTCCCATTATCAAGACCGACTTCTGATGATAAAGTTCTGTTGCCAGTTTCTGAATTTCATCATCCATGCTCAGCACTTCCTTAATCAAATCTGTTAAGAAGTAACATTAGCAACACCTATGAAAAAAGGACAACAGACAGAACCAACAAAAAAAACGATAATCTATTGGTAGCACCCGACAAAGACCTGTGTTTCTATTCCTTTGTGATATCAGTGAAGGATTTTTAAATACATGGGTGCAAAAGTAAAAAGATTTGTTAACTAAACAGCTACCAGCCACAGCTCCCAGGATAGAAAGAGAATTTCCCCCCCACTGACTCCCTCAGACAAACAAAGCAAAGGACGAGAGAGTCTCCGCACCGGGCAGCCGCTTCAGCCCCAGCATGATCTCTTTGCGTCTCTCTTGCATGGAGATCCTGTCATCACACATCATAAGGGCGAACATCACGAGGGACACAAACTGGCTGGTGTAAGCCTGAAACACCACAAAAAAGCAGTTGCATTTTAAGAACGTGGAATTTTTCATTTAAAAAAGATGAAATAAAAACAAATGCCCATTGGTTTTATAAGCATATATTGTCCATGTTTTAATAAACAGTATTAGTAACAGTGGACTGAACCAGTGCTTAGGAAATCTATCACTATTCCCCTTTTTCTGAATTTGAACAAATGCCTTAAACTTTATTTCCAGATACAAAATAAAAGGTCTTTACAATGCATTGGATACTTATGAAATCCCTAATATACTCAAGAAAGAAGAAACAGATGTCAAAGAAAGTGGACAGAGAGAGAATCTGCATAAATGTGACTGAATTGAGTTCTGATGTAAAAGCCAGGGTTTAAAGGACTCTCCCTGACATACTTGCACAGCTTTTGTTGGAATTTTTTAACATCAGCCTTTGATTTTTACACCTTTGCCTACCGCTTATTCCTCACTCCCAACTTTTTTAAGTTTCACTAAAAATATTTTTTAAGTTCAACTGTATAAAGTAAGAATAATCTTCAATTATATTACAGGAATAATTACATTAATAACATGCTATCAATAACATTTGTGAATACTGCCTTCTAATCTCTACAATGTTTTTCTTTTCTATATTGTTTAGAAAATCAATTATTAGTAGGTATAATTTTATGAACTTGTTTCTATTCTTAATGAACATAACAAATCCCCAAGACAGAATGCTCTCTTTCTTGTTTACTAATGTAGAATAACTTTAAACAGTTTTTCCATTGCTTTAGGCCTCAGATCGCCCACCTGTTAATTAAAAGTACACATTACCTACAAGATAATCATGAGAATTAAATGAGACAAGTATAAATCATTCGGTGTAGTACCTGACATATAGGCTAAAAACAAACTTGTTACTGATGAAAGCTTAAAGTAAAAGACTTGTTTAGTTCAAAAGATTTTCCTAAACAATAGACTTCTGAATATTTTAAACCCTGCAGTCACGATGTCAAGACTATTTTTATTCCCATTAGCCACAGATGAATGTAAGATATGACTGCTTTGTCACATTCTTTGGAATATTGAGAATTATCCTTTTACAGTAGCTGGTGGACCTGATGGTTCCACGTTTGTGTGTGGACAAACCAGGAGGAACAACTGGGGAGCAAGACAGACCATGCAACCCATTGTTACAGCATGGGAAAAGAAAGCCTGAAAACCTCTGGGTGTAAAAACCTGTGGGGGCTGCACAGTAGGAGAAACTCTCAGCCTCACAGGAGAGCTCATTGGAGAGACCCACAGGGTCCTAGAACGTACACAAACCCAGCCACCTGGGAATCAGCACCAGAAGGGCCCAATGTGCTTGTGGGTAGTACGGAAAGTGACTGAAAGCTGCTGAGAGCTGAGCAAGCAGAAATGTTCTCTCTCCGACTGCTCCCCAACATAGAGTCCCACAATGCAGCTACTTGGGGTACCCTGCCCTGGAGAATACCTAAGGCTCCGCCCCTTACAATGTAACAGCTGGGCCAAGACAAAGAAATATGGCCTAAATGAAAGAACAGATCAAAGCTCCAAAAATAAAACTAAGCAATGAAGAGATAGTCAACCCATCAGATGCAGAGTTCAAAACACTGGTAATCAGGATGCTCAGAGAAATAGTTGACTGTGGTCACAAAGTAAAAGAAAAACTGAAGGCTATGCAAAGTGAAATAAAGAAAAATATACAGCCCTGGCTGTAGCTCAGTAGATTGAGAGTGGGCTATGAACCAAAGGGTCACCAGTTTGATTCCTAGTCAGAACACATGCCTGGGTTGCAGGTCAGGTCCCCCGTAAGGGGTGCATGAGAGGCAACTACACACTGATATTTCTCTCCCTCTCTTTCTCCTCCCCTTCCCTTCCCTCTAAAAATAAAGAAATAAAATCTTTAAAAAGAAAAAGAAAAAGAAAAATATACAGGGAACCAACAGTGAAGACAAAGAAACCAGGACTCAAATCAATGGTGTGGACCAGAAGGAAGAAAGAAACATCTGACTGGAACAAAATGAAGAAACAAGAATTCAATAAAATGAAGAGAGGCTTAGGAACCTCTGGGACAACTTTAACACTCCACCATCTGAATCATAGGGTGCCTAAAGGAGAAGGGGAAGAGCAAGAAATTGAAAACTGATTTGAAAAAATAATGAAGGGAAACTTCCCCAATCTGGCAAAGTTAGTAATTTGGACTTCTAGGAGTCCAGGAAGTTCAGAGTCCCAAAGAAGTTGGACCCAAGAAAACACACACCAAAGCAGATCATAATTAAGTTAACCAAGATTAAAGATAAAGAGAGAATCTTAAAAGCAGCAAGAGGAAAGGAGAGAGTTACCTACAAAGGAGTGCCCACAAGACTATCAGCTGATTTCTCAAAAGAAACCGTACAGGTAAGAAAGGACTGGCAAGTAGTATTTAAAGTCATGAAAGGCAAGGGCCTACATCCAAGATTGCTCTATCCAGCAAAGCTCTCACTTAGCATGGAAGGGCAGAAAAAGCGCTTCCCAAATAAGGTCAAATTAAAGAAGTTTTTCATCACCAAGCCCTTATAATATGAAATGTTAAAAGGGCCTATCTAAGAAAAGGAGGATGATCAAAAATATGAACAGTAAAATGACAACAAACTCACAACTATCAACAACTGAACCTAAAAACAAAACAAAAACAAAAACGAACTAAGCAAACCACTAGGACAGAAACAGATTCACAGAAATGGAGATCACCTGGAGGGTTATCAGCCAGGATGGGGGAGGAGGAAAATGGGGGAAAAAGTAGCATAAGGGAATAAGAAGCATAAATGGTCAGTACAAAATAGACAGGGGGAGGTTAAGAATAGTATGGGAAATGGAAAAGCCAAAGAACTTATATGTACTTATATGTCCATGCTTCATGGACATATGAGAAAATGCTTCATCATGCAGTACTCATCAGTTTCAGACCTTGTCACAAGCTCTGGAACAAACTAATGAGTACCAAGGTACAACTGTACTTCTTTCCCAGTTTGATCTAACCTTTTATAATGATGTTTACTAACATGGAAGTTTTATTTCTTTAACTCCTATGTAGTACTTTTAAGTTTAGACAGTTCTTCCATTCTAACATCAGTTAAGTATTACTAAATTTTCTTAATTCTGTTGTTTTCATTTTTATTTTATTTAATTTTATTTTATTTAACTTTTTAATTTAACTTTTTCTTTACATTTTCCTTTTTAGTCTATCTGAAATTAATTTTAGTGCAAGGTGTTAACTATAGTTTTCTATTTTTGTAAATACCCCATTTTCCCACCCTTTTTCTAAATACCCATTTCACCCCACCCCTTTTGACTTTTCCTATAGTCTAAGTTCTTTGATGTACAATACAACTCTTCACATCCCATCAAAGAGTACACCTCTTTGATGTACTAGAGTTATGTTGCAGGACTATTGATACTGTCTCTTTCTCTACAAAACAATCTTCACATCCAAAAATATGGTATTTCATCAATTTGTGTTAGGAATTTAAAAATCTACAGTTAATATAGTCATTATCTATTCAATAAATATTAATGGAGCACCTTACACATTTCTTGGTAAAATTAAAGTATTTTTTAAAGCTATTGAAAATAGAATCCCCCTCCAAACACACACATCTAATCTTTTCTAAGTAGCCACTGTTGGTTTATAGAAAAAATAAGTATGTTTTATGTAAAACACCTTATATGAATTCATATTCATTCTAAGTCTTTTACTTAATATTCTTGAGCTCTACAGGTAGTCAATCATATCAAGTGCAAATAAGGAGAATTTTCTTTCCTCCTTTCCCACTGTTTTACTTATCTTTTTTTTTTTATTAAACTGAATAGAACTTCTAGAACTGGGATAGCAAATATGTTTTACAGAAAGCCAATCCTAACTCATCTGTAGTCACAGTGAAACATCATGTTGAGAAAGATTCTAAGGCCACATTTTTTTTTTTACTTCACAGTAATACAGATAAAATCCTAGGAAGGCTCCGGAAGACAGCCCAGGCCCTTGAGATAAAGGTCCCGAAGCTTTCTGTTCTGCACTTCATCCCTTTTTCCCTATTTGATTCCTTTGCTTTACTGAGTTCCTGTTTCTAACTTTTGAGTTACATACATACTTCATCTGTTTAAGATAAAGCATTTAATGCTATGTATGAATTTGCCTCAAATCATTAATTTGGCCACATACTCTAAATTGTTACCCATACTATTCATTGTCATTATTTTTTCTAAACCTTTTTTTAATAGTAGTTCTGGTATTTTTCCAATTCAATAGTTACTTAGAGGAACGTTTTTATGTTTCACGGATTTGAGGATTTTACTCAGACATTTATTATTAAATCACTAGGGTTACAGTGGTATGGTCAGTTACAATGCTATATGTAACTTTAGGAAATTTATTTTGTTTTTTTTTGTTTGTGTGAGTGTCTATGTATGCATTATGGCTGACTTTCTGTTACTCTTCTCTGGATAAGGAATCACTTCATTAGTGAACATTTTCCTGCTGTAATGTGGAAAATAAGCCTCCTGTATAATAAAATTATAGTCTGCTAATGCTCATTACCTTCTCACTACTTAAATGGGATTTCCTATCTCCTCTTACTGCACCTTGTAGCTGTCAGCTGCTCAGACATTCCCGCAGACAGCTAGCTCCCTGTCCCTGTGCTCCGCAGTGTTTCCCAGACATTCCTGCACAGACAGCTCCCTGTCCCTGTGCTCCGCGGTGTTTCCCAGACATTCCTGCACAGACAGCTACCTGTCCCTATGCTCCGCAGTGTTTCCCAGACATTCCTGCACAGACAGCTACCTGTCCCCGTGCTCCGCAGTGTTTCCCAGACATTCCTGCACAGACAGCTACCTGTCCCTGTGCTCCTCAGTGTTTCCCAGACATTACTGCACAGACAGCTACCTGTCCCCGTGCTCCTCAGTGTTTCCCAGACATTCCTGCACAGACAGCTCCCTGTCCCCGTGCTCCTCAGTGTTTCCCAGACATT